ACTACTTTTTGGATTTCCTCATGTTTATTTAGCTCTGTGTCTTTTGTAAAACCTTTGTAGTATTTAATAAGTTGTGTGATATACCTAGGAGGACAGGTATTGAAGTTTGTGTTTGTTATATAGTCAAGAAATAATTTTTGTTGTAATTTTTGGTGGATGATGTCTCTTGTTTCTCTGTTAGTTATTGTGATCTGGTTGGCTTTCTTATAATTTTGTAAGGCATTGTAAAACATCTCTTCGTACTCAGTCTAGTGTTGTGAGATAAAGCACTTGGCTCTAGTAAAGGTGAGGAAAAGTGTTCTGTCGAGGTGTTTGAATTTAGCAAGAATACCTGGGAGAATTTGTTTTTGAGTAGGTTTGGTTGCTATTTTGTATTTGATAAATTCTTGTAGACTGTTGCTAGATTGAAAACTAGTAATCAGTTTATCATAGTGCCATGTGTTGTCATCAAAGGGCTGTGTGATTTCTTTTGTTAGTTCTTTGTATATATGTTTTAACCATTCTGGGTTGGGTTCTCATCTATCTCTATTGTGTTGTTTATCAGGTTTTGTTTGGTTACTTGGCTGTATGAATGTGTATTGGAACTTTCTTGATATGCAGATATAGTTGAGGCTGTGTTAGTTTCTATTTTGTTGTCAGTTTGTGTATTTTCTAATTCAGTAATAGGGGTAGTCATTTCAGTATATACAAGGCTTTTCTGTTGGGTGATGTTCAGATTGGGCTGAGTAGAGCCTGCTGCAGGTCCCATGTTGTGTGTTGCTGTTGCTGTATTGTTGTTGTTGATCGGGGGTCTAAGAGTAGCATCGTTGTTGGAATGAACTTCAAACTTAATCAACTCAAATTATTTAAAATCAAAACTCTATTAAATGAATTACCTAACCATTTACTTCACCATACTTTTTATCCTACTATTTTTTAAAATATTAACTGTTTCCACTATGAAGCATTAGATTCTTTCTTATAATTTGACACTACTTCAATATATAATCAATACTGATATCAATAATTATATCAACTCCACTGAATTAGATTTGTCAGCAGACCAGAAGGCTGACCTTATCTACCAACTACAACATCATGAGACATTTAATGCTGTAGCAATACAGCCTTCATCACATTATTTAGAACTTACAATTAAAGACTTAATTCTTAACTCTATAGTGCAAACAGTCTAAAATTTCCATATATCTTATAAACAAGCATTCTATATCATTATTGAATTACTTTTTTTATAGTCAAGGTTAGCCTCTTTGGCTTATCACTTTTATTAAATTGTAGTATCATGTGGTTCCCTTATCAAGAGGGCCCCAGACAAGTACATTCTGACAAGGGTACATTTTAGCCATACTTGCACCTTTTGAGTACCTAATTTAAGTAGTCTGCCTATTACTAGATTCTATACTAGATGCCATATCTGTAACCCACTATTATTTAGATTACTTGATTAAACTCTCTAATCTAAGTTTCCTATGCCAATCCATCTAATCTCATCTGGAACATATAATATATTAGTCAGTCCAAGTTCTAGAATCGTTGCGAACTACCTATAGGACTACCAGCATGGTTAACCGATTTATCCTTGAGATTATTATCTGCTAGAGCAATCTAGTACCCACTATTATTGTATTACCTAGTCTACTTCGGTAACTTATACTGAGTCCAAAGACAAGTACTTGTGAGCCGAAGCTGCTACTATTATCTATTTAGCCCTTGTAGAGTTCACCCAAACCCCAGTACCTCCCTTCAAAACAACCCAGTACCTTCCCTTTAAGTACTCCTAGCCGGTCTCTTTAGACTACCAATTCAGATGGCCGGATGGGATACTGGTTCCTTGGTATCTGTATTGCAGATCCTTTTTCTCTAGCGATTCTGGCGGTTTGGTTAGTGAAGTATCTTCCTTCCGAATATATAGTCCTCATCTAGTTATGCCAGTCTCAGGTGAAGTCTATCTAGAGCAACTGTAAAAGGTTTGTGCTACCTCTTTACTCAGGTCTTGCAAAGCAGACATCCATCTTTCCAGTTCCCTGGGTTTATACAAATACGAGGTCTTATCTTGGGTTTGCACTGACTAATACTGGCTTGCATACCTTTGTATAACTTATATGTTGTATGAATGCTCTATAATTTTCTAATCTTGTTGGTGCTACCAAGGTTACAAAAATTCTATTCCAATCAATTGTCAAAAGATAGTAGCCGTCTATAAGCAGAATATTTGAAATTTTGCAATTGGTAGGTTTCGAACCCCTACCTGCCAACATACCACTTGGGTGTGTGACAACTTAACTACTTCACTAAGTTGCCACATTCTGTTATTGAATTACTATTAAAAGTTAATGAACAAATATATAAACAACTTTGGAAACCTTACTGCATCAATTTCTCTAACTGGAAAAAACAACAACAGATAACATACCCTTACTCCAAGCCAAAAGATTCATCATCAACTGCCAATAAGGAAAAACGCTCTCGAATCAACTATACATACTCTTGCCAATGTGGAACAGCAGACCAATTACATTCTCATTCAGGTACTTGTCCTCCTGTAGGTCAAGCTAAAGGAAAAATTAACATTTGGTATAAACACTGGATCAAATATAGTACAACTTTAAACTTTATTCTAACTTTAAAAACCTAGGTGAGTCTTTGACCACTCTAGTGGGTTTAGGTCGCAGATAAATATGTCTGAGCTTCTATTCTTGCATGTAATTTTTGTTTTTATTTGTACTTGTACAAATAGTAGTATCTCTTTAATATAGTTACTATTTTTAAAGTTACTAATAAAGATATGAGCAAGGCCTCACCTTAATACCAAAAAAAAAAAAAAAGATTTTCCAGAGAAGTAAAGAGTATGTTTCTTCTTGTTCAATGCTAGAGAAAAGTGTGATAGGATCTGTTAGGCCGTATGCTGTTATAAATAACTCTTGCTTTTCAGTCTTGGTGTAAATTTGTTATAAAGTTTATGCCTTGTTGGGGTATGCCTGTTCTTTTACACGCTTGTGCAAGACGTTAAATGTTAATTTTATTAAAAGCTTTGGACATGTTCTGAAAAAGTATTCAAGCCTCTTTTTTGTTATATTTATAGTGTTCGATTGTATTGTATATGATCTGAATTAGTATATATGTAGAGACATTAGGTGTTGCAGCAAAGTTAAGGTTACTAAGGAGGTTGTTTTGGTTAATTATTTGGTCGAGTCTTTGTATAAAGATTTTGGTTAGGCATTTTTTTAGGGTTCTATAAGTAAGATTAGGCAGACTTGATCTAAAGTATAGTCTCAGGTTGATTTTTTGGGTTGAGAAATATATTGAATATTTTTCAATCTGTAGGTATTAATTGTAGTTGTAGGTATTTATATAGGAGAAGTCTGAATATTTTTTGACTTTGCTGTGAGGCAAACTTAATGTGTTCGTAGTAGGTACCAGAAGGACCTGAGGCTTTTTGGTTAGATAGTTGAATTATAGTTTTGCTCTATTCATCAGCAGAATTTCTGCAAGAAGGTTGCTATAATGAATCTCAAGTTCAGGTTGTGGTTTGTATAAATCATAAAAGTCAGAGTTAGGAGGAATAGGTAGGAGTGGTTGTTGTTGAAAGTAGTTTTGAAAGTGTTGTTGAGTAGCTTCTTTAATGTCTTTGGGATTTGTTAATAGTAAGTCCTGAAGGAGAAGTCTGTCTAAATTAGTATTATTATTATATCTTTCAAGAACTTTCTTAAAAAATAGTTTGGGGTTTTCAGTGAAGTTTAAGTTCTATTCTTAAAGTTTGTTTGAGATTTCATGTTGTATTTGTTTTCTATTTTTTTGATCTATTAGTGTTTTTAGATTTTTGGTTTCAGTTTTGAAAAGATTACAAAGAGATGATAGATGAAAGTTAGGTGGGATATTAGGTGTTAATAGTATGTTGCTTTGAAATTTTTAGTAGTATTCATGAAGGTGATTATAAAGGTTAGGTGATTTAAGTGATTTTTTGATTTTAACAAGTGCTTTGTATTGAAAATAGGTGGGTGTATATTTGATTTTTTGAGTGGATTGTTTTCTCTTGTTAGGATTTATTTTTTTGTATAGAATATGTTTGTTGGCTACTTTTATAAAGGATTTGTTGATAACTTTTCAAATTTCGTCCAAGTCTTGTTGATTTTGGATTTGTGTAATTTGGCTCTTAATTTTTTTATGATTTTTGTCTAAATAGTTTTGGTATTTTTCTATTTGTTCAGCAGTTGCATGTTTCCAAAGAGTTATATTCTATTTGGGTTGTTTGTGAAGTGATATTGGAGTAGCAGATAGAGTAATTTCTAAAAGAGTGATGTTATAGTCTGAGTCTGTAGAAATTGTGTTCAAGATATCAGCATAATCTAAAGTGGTGATGTGTAAGTTTGTCCAAATTTGGTCAATTTTGCTTTGATGTTCTTTGTAATAGCAAGTAAATTTAAAAAAGTTAGCATAAAATATTCTGAAAGTGTCATAGAAGTTAGGTTTAAGATATTTAATTAGTAGTGATTCTGGAGTTTAAGTCTTTTTAGGTGGTAATTGATCTATTTTATGGTTTGGTATTGCATTGAAATCTCCTATGATAATAATTTTGTAGTTAGTTTTTTGGATAAAAAGAAGTGTTTTTTCATATATTTCTTTTTTAAAAGTTTGGTTTTCTTTAGTAGGAAAGTATAGTTGTATGAGTTGAACAGAGTAGTTGGCAGAGAAAGATCTACAGTAAGAATTTAGCTTTGTATTCTTGTATTTTGCTAATAAATTTAGAGAGATTTTCATATATTAGGAGTCCAACTCCACCTTTGTCTAGTGTTGTTAGTTTCACTCCAAAGGTTGGTGTAGTTGGGAAGATTTTGAGATAGTGGAAGAAGTTTTGCTTCTTTGGTGCCCAAATAAGTTTCAGAAAGACCAAAAATATTTATTTGGTTTTCAGTAATGAAGTTGTGAAGTAAGGTGTGTTTTGAGTAGAATAGTCTGTTTGTGTTAAAAGAGCAGATTTTGATTTGTTCAAGTGTAAATATAGATTGATTATAAAGATTTTGAGTTATGTTGGACGTATTTAAAGGTTGGTTTGTATGATAGTCTTTGGATAGAGTAAGTGGTGATGTAAGAGGAGATTCTATTTCATTGTTTAGAAAAAAATTGTTTTCAATATTTAGGTAGTATATTGAGAAAGTTGTTGGATAATTAGTTTTAAGGAGTGTGTTTAGATATTGTTTAATAGAATTATAATTAAGTTGGATATTGTTGGGAAGGATGAATGAATTATGAGAAAGGTAAATGTATACTTCTTGGTAATGTTTGTATATAAAAAATATAAAATTAAGATTTTGACTTTGGTTCTAGTATGAGTGTAAATGTAGTATAAAAGAAGCAATAGTAGTAGGTATTGTTATAGAGAGTAATTTGTAATATTTTAAAAATCTATTGTAGCAAGTGGACAGGTTATAGGGTTCTAATGATGTTGAAGATAAACCTGTCTGGTTAGTATCTTTTACAAGATCATTCACCATATATCCAGTTCTCATGGTGTCCAGAGAACTGTAGCCTGCCCTGTGCATTGGGTTTGACCGTTATTAAATCAAGCTTCTAGATAAATAGGCTTTACTACCTGCCTACTTATATCATTCTCTTTACTAAATATAATGGGTGTTTTTTTTAGTAAAGCGGTAGCTGCATCCATGTTAATTATAAAAA